GCATTCGTGCAATTTTTATCTGAGTCTTTGGGCCTCATATTCAGCCTGGATTTCGCACAGCATCGTACACGTAACGTTTCAAAATCGACGAGGGCTCCAAAAGTCAGCTGAAACCGACAGAGTGTTTTGAGAGCCTTGAACAGCGTCTGAGGGCGAGAAGCCGGGAAATCTGGCCCATCCTGCTTTGAAGAATTCAGCACCTCTCGAGAGTGGGACCGTGCCCCTCGCCTCAGCGGGTGAGGAAACCAACACTGGAGCACGACGAGATCTCATGCTGAATCCTGTCGTGAATGAAGAAACTCGCTCCACGAGGAAATAGCCGTGGAGATGCTACCCACAAAGGCTGGACCGCGATGAAAGTGAGGTGATCACCGGCAAGAGGACTTCGATAGCGACAAGGTGAGAGGAATTGAAGGACAGAACAGGGAACGAAAGTTCGGCTGCAGTACACGCTTTTGAAAGCAAGACTTAACCGCTGTTACAGTAGTGAGCGAAATTAACGGCACGGTTTCTCAGATCCGTCACACCACAGTGAGTGCGCAACCTTAAAAATCGCCAATGCCATTAATGGGCCGAGCGTAGTTAGCACCCGATCAGCTATGATCAGTGACGCGCATGCCGTTCTAGCGATCAGCTATGTGCAAGGGCGTACGCTCATGTGGTTTGTGGGGACGTGCCCCCCCCCCCTCGTTACCAGATTTATGGTGTGCATTAATATGCATGCAACTTAATGTGCTCAGCTAAAAGATCAAGGCGAACACAGCAAAACAGACAAATCGAGCTTACAGGATGTCGTTTGATGAGACCCAAGGGATGGCGAACCTGAAACGCGCTAAACTCGGTTTAAGTAGAAAATTTCGAGCTATGCCGCCACCCTTTTCTTGTCAAATGTGCTTACGCGGATGGCTCTGCCACATGGTTTTTATAAAAAGGATATGCAAGCATTTACTTTGCTTAAACAGAGCAGATTAACATCGGCAAATCCATGTACACTTTATAAAAACGGGTTCACAAGATTCTTGGACGATTCAAGAACGATTCTACATAGAGAGCGATTCTTGCTTGAACTATGATTAAGTATTCTACAGGAGCGACCCGTACTGACGTGGCTCGGCCCGGCCCGGCTCGTCACGCTTCCTGCTCGCTTTGCCTTTGGGTATTTCTAGAACTGCTTCCTTCTCTTATTTGTTCACATTCTTTGTGTGGAACAATGATCTTTGTAGCTCAGTAACTACTAAACACAGGCTCGCGCGATCTCCAACGAAAGCTGCGGATTCTTCAGAAGATGCGCGCGCGTAAATTACCAGACATTTGTATGCACAACGTGTAACGATATGGGCTATTCCCGCAGCACCGCAGCACTGTTGAAGTTTCACCCTTTCGTCGCAAAATTAGAAAACGCCAAATTCCCAAAATGAGAGAAAGCCAAGGCGTACTCTTCGGGTCCGGGACCAGATCTCGGCATCCTGGCGTTGCGGCGGCGTAAAACCATGTTCTGACGAAGTTGGACACTGGCGATCATATTGGCAAACGCTTGGGCTGGTGCGTCCAGACAGTCACGTGCTAATGTGTGCGAACCATGTATTCGTTCGCTTTGGGACGGTTCTAAGGGATAAATCCCGTATCCCAGAAGTCAGAGCGGATAAAGACTCAACAGCGACTGCACCGTGTGGGCGAATGTATCGACCATAACCCCCTGCGGGTCCCCAAACCTGTTCGATCCATGCGGACGCCAGCAATTGACCAGAAGGCTGAAGTTGTATTCTATTCTATGTATTGTATTCTAGACTTGGTCCTATCCCGGACCGAGTCTAGAATACAATGTACTCTGGGCTAGATCGATGGATGTGAGACATTGCGAACTATTCAGATGTCTAGCCTTATGTATGCGACAAATACCAATGGGCCATAGTTGCGCCATCTGCAATAGTTCGGCTAAAACTGCCAAAACCCTAATGGCTGATCGTCGATTCGACAAAGTGGAGGTGATCGGCTTGGTCGGACTCAGCTTGCGAACAGGTGTTTGCGAACATGCGCGAATGCTACATCAATGGCCACACACTTATCAAACCCTTCAAAACACGCAATATTCGATGTGTCGCCATGTATGGGTCGTCAACTATGCCTGCTACGATCAGCGTATCTTCTTGCATCAGTGACACAATTCTAAAGAACGCGCTCGCGGCTGTCATGAAATCGACCTCCCAAAGACACATAATGCAGCATCTTACCGATGACAAAAGTTATGAAGTTGCTTAACAACGCATTCAGCTTCTCCGACAGTTTAATGCCCACTAGTATTGCTCCAAGTACCGTGGTGCACGTTGAGGCACCACACAAGTAAGTGGGTTAAAGCCCATGTATCTCTGCTTACGGTCACGTACCAGCGTTCTAGCCGATTGCACTGTGCACTAACACAGCTGCACATCCGGGGTATCTTTACATCAAGTTTTACCTTGTTTGGTTGCTTGGGAAGTTTCTGACAATTTCCGGCGCTGATGGCTTTCTAGGAAGAATGCTTAAATTGTTTTGTGTGTTTATGGTATGTTGAATACATTGTGGGTACATTCAACCCTTACGTGTGTGTTTCCTGCGATCCCCATTCCCATTTCTTAGCGGTTGAGTACGCTTACTCTCGTGAGCACAGTTTTTTTTTCTAAATTCAGCTTGTCATGCACCAGGGACAGCAAAACATACGATTTTTGATGAGAAATGCAATGCGGTCGCAATCGTGTTTTAACTGAATACTGCAGTTGCGTCTGCGTAGCTTCTGTGCTAGACGGTTGCCATCCTCATTGCAGTATTTTCTGTTGTTTTCGCACGTGACGAAACACGATTAAATTAGATGACTTCATCGTAGCGCGCAGTGCGCGTTATGCACCTCGCAGATGATGCGGCCCCTTGTGAAATGCGACTCGTACGTGAGGGCCATCTCCAAGCACATACAGAACTACCCCCTTGCTGAATGCCCTATTGAAAGTAGGCAAGATCCGAATGTTTGCTCAAACACTAGTCTTGGGTTCTCAAGAGGATTACAATGCCGGCAGACCATAAGGAGCGTTCCGTATATCATATAAACTTGGCTTTCTCGACACTGCTGTATGTATTCCAAACCTTGTATGACCATGGGGACTAGTATGCTTCTATTCAGTACGGCACGTTCGTCTTAGGCCATGAGCAGTTTCCCGAATTAAAGATGGGTGCAATTAGGTATGACAGGTTTTCTTCAAATATGGTACTGACACCGTCGTTATGAATGTGCTTATATAGCCAGCCAGCCATGCCTGGCTCTGTGCTAGCACCAGCACTAACTTGCAATGTTTTGCACATTTTACAACTATTTCCAAGCACTGGAAACTGACAGCCAGAGCTGCTTCACGTGCAGAGCGCAGCCGATGCTGGGTGTGTACTTGCTGCCGTCCCACAATCCCGTGATTCCGTCATCCCGTTCCGTGATTCCGATGTAATGCGCATTTCGGTTATAAATATTCTTCGATCGCCGGGATCGATTGTCAAGATTTTTGAGAGATTTGTCCCCGTTTGAACCAAGTCCTTGCAAGTAATCCACATCCACTGTTGACCACGGTTCCAACATGCCGACTGGATGTATCTGACGCTGGCAGATGTGTCCAACCATATCAAGCTCGCCATGCCTTTCGCTGCGCTTTGCGAAGTGCTAGTGTTTTTGGTCAGTCCCATGCTTCTTTCTTTTATGTTTTGTTTTACTCTGATCTTATGAAGTGCTTGTGGTAAAATCGGACGCCTTTCTATGCATATCTTGCCATGTAGACATTAAAGTCACCATACACGCGTTCCAAACTGTGGAATAGTTAAACTCAACTTGTAATCAGTAAACCATTGCATTCCCTCGGATTTTAATGTGTCGTAAATGGTCTCGCGGCAGCCACCGCGTTAATTTTTGCCACTTTGGTGAATAGAAAGTGGTGAGGTGCCTCGCGTCCACTGCGTTTGCACGCACTGTTTCGTAAGACGACTCACCGGCCTCTGTGCCAGGGGATTGCAACAAATAGCGGCATGACAGTGCAGGCAGCAGGGATCGGAGCGGCGAGTGGCGTCATGCGTCACATTCATCCAAATGTCACTCCCCGGGGTCATCTCTTGTGGATAGACCGGCGCTCCGAACAGAGCCAAATGTCACGCCCCGGGGTCATCTCTGGTGGATAGGCCGGCGCTCCGAACAGAGCCAAATGTCACGCCCCGGGGTCATCTCTCGTGGATAGGCCGGCGCTCCGAACAGAGCCAAATGTCACGCCCCGGGGCCATCTCTCGTGGATAGGCAGCGCTCCGAGCAGAGCCAAATGTAGCGCCCCGGGGCCATCTCTGGTGGATAGGCCAGCGCTCCGAACAGAGCCAAATGTAACGCCCCGGGGCCATCTCTGGTGGATAGGCCAGCGCTCCGAGCAGAGCCAAATGTAACGCTCCGGGGCCATCTCTCGTGGATAGGCAGCGCTCCGAGCAGAGCCAAATGTAGCGCCCCGGGGCCATCTCTGGTGGATAGGCCAGCGCTCCGAACAGAGCCAAATGTAACGCCCCGGGGCCATCTCTGGTGGATAGGCCAGCGCTCCGAGCAGAGCCAAATGTAGCGCCCCGGGGTCATCTCTGGTGGATAGGCCAGCGCTCCGAGCAGAGCCAAATGTCACGCCCCGGGGCCATCTCTGGTGGATAGGCCAGCGCTCCGAGCAGAGCCAAATGTAACGCCCCGGGGTCATTTCTCGTGGATAGGCAGCGCTCCGAACAGAGCCAAATGTAGCGCCCCGCAGCCATCTCTTGCGGACAGCTCACCGCTCCGAGCAGAGCCGGGATCATCGCGAGCCGTCCTCCGATGCTCCAGGTGGCGCCCTCTCGCCGGTGGGCTCGTCGTCCCGTCAACAGCGCGCCGTCGCCGCCCCGCGCCGCCTCCGATTGGCCGGCGGCGGCGGCGCCCGCGGCCCAGGTTATAAGTACGCCGGCGGACGGGCTCTGGTGTCTGTGCCGTTTGCCTCCCGTCCAGGTCGCCGGGAAGGAGCGGGCGTGGTCAGGGACGGAGCTGGGACGCAGAGGGAGCAGCGGGAGGTTCGGGACGGCAGCGCGGTCTGCAGAGTGAGGTACGCTGCCAGCGAGCGAGCAGCGTGGGGGACAGCGCCAGGACCCGCACCCAGCGCCGTCGACACCGACACCTGCCGGCTCCAGCCACCCACGGCTGGGCTGATCCCAGCGGCTCCTGGACCTCAGACTAGGTGAGGGTTAGCTCCGAATGCACCGTCGATGGCGGGATGGCTGCATACAGCAGCTGTGAGGGCGCGCGGTGACGGCTGGGTTCGTGTGGGTACAGCGCCAGCGGACATGAGCGACGATAAAATGTGTTACTGTCCATTCCATGCAGCAAACCACAACGGGCTCAAAGACTCCAGTAAACGACACCGAGATGCAACTTAAAACGCCTGGCTGGGTGTGACCAGAACAGCCAGTGGCCTATCCCTTATGCGGTGGTGGACACACGGCGTGTACCCTCGCGTGACAACGTGCCCCCCCCCCCCTGAATTTAGCCGGTTCGTCCAGTGGACTTGATGTTGTTTGTGATTCCTTCTAACCAGTATCATCATCGGATGGGCTTGCTATTAGGTATTTTACCTCTATGATGTCGTATTGTATATTTATCTGCGTGTTGTGGTTTCCAGCTAAACGTCATGACGAGGCTGGGCCTGCGTTGGACACTGCTGGTGGCTGTCTTCATCAAGGTCAGTGCAAGGACATCAAATCGCCATTGAAACACTTGATAACCATGACTGTGTCCCTGTGCAATGTCTGGTGCTTAACCTCAAAGAAATGCGATCAATGCTTTAGTTGTAGAGTACGATTGGTATTAAATAGGTAACAGGAACCCAAGAGCATCGAAAGTTCCCTTCGCATACGTCCCAGTGTTGAGAGGTCTTTAAGAAACTTGATACCTGAATTGACGCACTATATGCCGAAAAAACAACATACAGTCGGAACAATGTAGGTACACTTTTACTGACGGGCACATGCAAGATAAAGTCATCAGACATACAACAGAAAATACAGATGTGCGATAACGCAGCGACGACACTATTATACATACTTTAATTTAAAGGCGTGAAGAAGGTTCCAGACTAAGCTTTCAGGATTTAAGCACCGCTTTTTCCTTCCTGCTGTGTTCGCATCATGAAGACCCTGCTCATATAAGTCAGGGCTGGCTAATTTGCCTTTGCCCAGGGTGTTTACATCAAGGAGTAGTGTGCATTGCTCGGTCCCAGTCGAAAACAACGCATGACAAGTGTCTGAGCGGCTGCTTCACACGCGAGATCTGAGGCCGCGTGGTAAACGTCTCCCGGCAATGTAATTGTGTGACTCACGTGTGAAAGTGAAGTGTTTTCTAAACTCAAATTGGTTGTAATTTTCAAGGCAACGTCATTCGAGTTCAGCGAGGCGGGAAAGTTTTGAATCACGGAGATTAACGTATTCTTCCGTTTTGAGACTTTCTCGCTTACCACGTTTTTCGTAAAGCACACGTTTTCCTAAGATGCAAGTTCACCCCATTTAACCACGTGGAAATTTTCTCCCAAAATTGGCATGGTAGCGGTGGTGTATGGCCCGGCAGGCGGTACACCAATAGCATTGCGGTACTTCAAGTACACACTAGTGCTGGCATTTAATGTCAGTTGAGCCACTTTGTAAGCAAAAGGACTGACCGGGGGAAACAGCCGGGATTACTCTTAGCAGCCTTTTTTTAACCCATCCATATCGGTAGCCAACCATTTCAGTGATATAAGTGCCACGGTGACCGAAATGAGATTTGTTAGTGTTTGTTCCAGCGCTTGCTTGTTACCGCTAACTGGTTATCAACTTAAACAGCACAGTGCGACGTGTAGAAAACTTGGAAAACGTTCCACGCGTATGTGCGTACCTAAGCTGAATTATAGCGCATCCAGGCGCACAGCTTCGGTAGTCCAATAATTGTTGTGAGAAAGAAATCAGCGGCGCGGGCAATTGACGCGTGGTGATGTAGCACGTGTATACGCTGTCAGACGAACCACCGGCAACCTCTCCCCCCCCCCCCACACACACACAAACACAGAGACAGATAGAGATACAGACACGCGGTGGCGGAGACACCGTGCGGAAAAGCGGCAGTGCCGGCGGCATACTGCCATGGATGGTTAAATAACGCAAAAAAACCTGCATTTGGGAACAGACTCAATCGCGCCTCATGTTACAATGTAGCTGAAAGCACAGCAGAAAGCTCACTAAAAGAAACCATAAAAACAGCGAGCACCTTTGCGTTTTTGCTGTTGTTTTTAGAAAACTTGCTGTATGCCCCACCCACGCATTTTATGAATGCAACGCTCATGCGTGCTTGCAGCCCAGGGTGCAGGAAAGAGATCCTCCTCTACTTAAAGAAGGTGACGTCCCGGATCAGCACAACCGGTACCGAAATGTGCGTTACGTTCACTAGGGGAACGCGGCAGGGGGCACAGAACGCGCCACGCGCTGCCGTGGGCAGGGGACAGACGCACCGCGCTCTGCCGTGGGCAGGGGACAGACGCACCGCGCTCTGTCATGGGCAGCGTGCCGTGGGCAGCAGACAGACGCGCCGCGCTCTGCCGTGGGCAGGGGACAGACGCACCGCGCTCTGCCGTGGGCAGGGGACAGGCGCACCGCGCTCTGTCGTGGGCAGGGGACAGACGCACCGCGCTCTGTCGTGGGCAGCGGACAGACGCACCGCGCTCCGCCGTGGGCAGGGACAGACGCGCCACGCTCTGCCGTGGGCAGCGGACAGACGCACCGCGCTCCGCCGTGGGCAGGGGACAGACGCGCCGCGCTCTGCCGTGGGCAGCAGACAGACGCGCCACGCTCTGCCGTGGGCAGGGGACAGACGCACCGCTGTCATCAGCGTCTGCAACGGCGGTTTCCCTCTGACCATTAGCAGCGCGGCGCACATGTGCGGCGCGTCTACCTGCGCTGACACATGGCGGCGAGCAGACCCGGGGACAAGTGAAACCGCTCCAGACCGGCCATATGCTCCCGTTCCACTCTCGGTTTCGGACGTTTCCCCGGTCTGGGCGGGTGTCATCGCAGCGCGTGCGGCCAGTGCGAGCGTTTCGCTCGGCGGGGCGCGACGCCAAGTGGAACGAACATCTGCAGTTACTCAGCCGTTAGGTAATGGCCCGTAATCGGGTAATATTGGTCAGGTGGGTGGGAATCTGCACTGGATGGCTGACCGGTGCCTGAATTACAGATGGTGTGGCCTTGTGTGATAATCTGATAACATGAATTATGTAATTCACACTCTTCAAAGAAACCGAAACTGATAAAAATCATCGCCCAGTTCATCACTCATAGCCTGTTGAGTCAGGCACTCAGCTGCCACTGGATGTGACACTTTGAGCTTGGCATTCTTAATTTTCTCAGGGCATATATACATATATATATATATATATATATATATATATATATATATATGCAAGTTCCATTTGTCATTGTGTATCTCACAGCCAGAATCTTGAGGTTCTCATCCTCTTACCTTAATAATCGTGTTCTACAGCCTATCTTTGTTCCATCCCATAATTATCGAGAACGAGCCATTTTCGCAGCGGTCTGCAGAGCTGCCGTGATGAGGTTATCGCCATCGTAGTCTATGGTTTGCCCATAGGATCTGTGACAAAAGTTTAAACTTTGGACCAGTATCCCAGAATTAGGAGCGCATATGTCGCGCGTGTCCACACAAATGACCAAAAACAATTAATCTGAGGTCAAATCCCCCCAAAACGTCATTCACCGAAGACATGTGACTGTCAGCCGACCCGTGATAGAGCATTGTGCTGAGTAGCTCTCTCCTCTTCGTTAACATGTACCGAGTTGATTCCTGGGCCGCCAAGAAGGGTATCTATATCGCTAGTTGAAGAACTGCACCAGCGCAACAATTGCATCGTTGTTTGCCAATGTAGAGGAACGTTCCAAAGCAATTCTATAAGCTTCACCCGTGATTAAAATGTTAACTTAAGCAACGCGCATGCCGACACCGAATGCCTTTCATTATAATGCCGAGATGCTTACAGTGGGGGCGTTCCATATATCTCACCACAAGGTGGTTACCGAGGGAGCAGTTTGTTATTGCTGTCTTTTTTCAGCAGCTGGTACGCATGCGCTGGGATCGGGGGTCATTTTTCCACAGGATCCGATTGGCCCACGGTATTTCGCCTGATTGCCTTGACCTGAACAGCATTGTAGCGTCTGGAGCAATGGGTGACATAACTGGAGCAAACTGTATTCTTCGGCACTCGTTATTTGCACCTGGTCCTGGAAACCCGCGCCAGGGACGCAGAGCGCGCCATTTTCGCAACGGAAGCGCGGGCTAACACCATCGAGAGTGAATCCGATTTCTTAACACCCTCGACAGCGCTGCTGCTCCGGAAACTACAGATGTTGTCCACTAGCGAATCCCGGAAAGTGAAAGCGTGGGGCTGACAACAGAGTCACGGACCGTGTCGTTCCGCCGGCTACCGAGCCGGGCGCGGGATGCGTCACTATTATGGCGCGACCACGGACCGGGACGGCGCCACAAATGCTCGGCTCGGACGCCTCCGAGGCGGGCAGTGGTCACGCGCCTCGGTGGCGCCGTCTGGATGGCGTGCCCGTGTTATCGTTCTCTGGTCCATGTCAGCAAGCCTGGAGACGGCGGGTTGGTGGGCATTGGACGGTGGGCTGACGCTGATAGCTGATAGTAAAACGATGAACGGATTTAAGTTCTTTATGGGATGTGGGGATGGGCCCCGAGTTAGATGCATTCGTCCGGTGCTAGGAAAAGGGTGAGTGGTGATCTGAACTGTCGTAATCAGGTTTTTAAGTGTGGAACTACGGCGGGAACTCCTGCAGATTTAAGCGAGAAGCGCCGCAGTCCACAACACTTGAGACATTCTAAGGCAATCTTTTTGCCATCGGTGTATTCATTCCTCCCTGAGGGCAAATCGAACCGCGAGGTCCTCCTCCCCGAAGCAAACAGCAAAACCCAGTTCCATAAGTCGTTCGCTTTTTTGTAACTCTTATTCTAATCGGGGCCATATACGCGATTGGTATGTCCGGAGAAGTGTTTTGCTCCGTGATTGTGTTCGGGCAATACATATTAAATCACAGAATAGATCTGTCGCTATCTCACGCGTGCGTAAACACCCCTTGCCGGTAGAGACATCACCCTTTCGTTTGGCTGCTATGGCATATATTCAGGCTCATCGCAAATACGATGCATGACAGTGCATGTGGCGACATCCTCTCGCAGCCAGCGTCTGCTTGTGGCGCTGCCTGCAAGGTTGCAGTTCTTGAATTGCAGACAAGCTCTGGCTACATGCACTGGCCGCCCGATGACACCCTCATATTCCCTCAGGGCAAATTTTCCCGCGGTTGAAAGCACCCGTCCTGATGCCACGCAATTATTTGCGTCCCACCACTGGAGTCAAGAAAGGAAACATGGCTATGCTTTGATTAATATTTAAGCCGGGCAACATCGCAGGTTAAGGAAATGGATCGAATAACGCTTCAGCGACAAAAGTGACGCATTCTTCTCTACTTGAAGTGATTCAGGCCCACAATTAGAGTAATTTTTCACCGTCAAGTAGCCATCAGAAGCGATTTGCTTCCTTCATAAATTTCATCACCGCAGGTATTTTCGTTTATCGTCCAGAGTGAAAACGGCCTAGCATCTGCCCGGCGCTCTCCGTCACTAACGATGTTTGAACTGCAGTTGATTACGACCAAATTCGAGTGGTGAGATTCACAGCTGTTTGGTCGAGCCATGGCTCTGAAAGATGATCTGACTCCATCATTAGTTTCACTGTAAGCCAAATGGGAATTCAAAACGGCGCGGCCCGGACCGCCACTAATCCGCCTGCTCCATACGTCTACTTTATAGGATTCACCTGGAGTGGGGGATCACTGCGTTGCGTGCAGAATGCGGTGCCATTCTCTAGGACAGGCATTGCCAACCGGGGAAAGCTCCCAATGAGGGGAGTACAATTGCATCAGGGAGGGGATGCGACGTAGCTGAATCATGTCTGAATCAAGACAGATAACCGTACGGCTGTCGCACATTCACGGACTGAATGGTAATGCATGAATGGATCACGTGCACTGTCACGCGCTTTATGAATTGAGCCGAGAATGTCTGCGTGGTGGACTAAAACAGGGCAATGTTTCCACTGACATAGAGGGCGCAAACGCGAGCAAGATGTCGAAAGCTTAATTCTATGTTTTGATTTGTGTTTCACTAATATAATCGCCGTGTAGAAAACTTTACTGAACCTGTCTGCTGCTTACATGAACCTGCTCCCAACAAGAAGTAGGAAAACGCATGGTCTATGTTGAATTTATCAGATTTTGATAACAATATTGTTAATAACGTTGTCATTTTGAACTTTTAGATTTGTATGTTTCATATACAATTGCTTGTCTGCGTCTCATCACCTTTATTCCAACAATATTACTTCTGCTGGTCTGCTTCCATTCAATGATGCGCGGACATCTGGTACAGGCAGTAGGGGACAAACCCTTGTCAACCGAGACCGCCCGCCGGCGGCCTCTGACACGGGCAGTGAGGGACGAACCCTCGCCAACCGAGACCGCTCGCCGGCGGCATCTGACACGGGCAGTGAGGGACGGACCCTCGCCAACCGAGACCGCTCGCCGGCGGCATCTGACACGGGCAGTGAGGGATGGACCCTCGTCAACCGAGACCGCTCACCGGCGGCATCTGGCAAAGGCAGTGAGGGACGAACCCTCGCCAACTGAAACTGCTCGCCGGCGGCATCTGACACGGGCAGTGAGGGACGAACCCTCGCCAACCGAGACCGCTCACCGGCGGCATCTGGCAAAGGCGGTGAGGGACGAACCCTCGCCAACTGAGACTGCTCGCCGGCGGTATCTGACAGGGGCGGTGAGGGGCGAACCCTCGCCAACCGAGACCGCTCGCCGGCGGCAGATTTCCCTTTCTTCGAGGGCGGCCCTGCTGACAGGCGCAGGCGACAGCCGGTGGAGCGCCAGAGGAAAACGGCGCGCCCGGCGGGGCGGCCGGCGGCCGGCCACGCCCGCACCCGATCCGCCAGCCATCCCTCACACATCTGCCAGCGGTGACACGGGCGTCTCCCCTGAGTGGCTCCTCCCCAACCGCCCCGGCCAGCAGCAGGGGCGGGGAGGGAGAGAGTGACAGGAGCGCCGGGAGAGAGCGGGGCAGACACAAGGAGCGGGAGAGCGTCTGTCTGGAACAGGCACACGTTACGTCGCAAGGAGAACAAACACGGTAGAGGGAGAAGACAGAGCGCAGAGATGATCTAATTGACTGCTATGTTAAGCTGTCGGAGTCAGGCGGGGTGGTGACGGCGCCGCCGGGCCGGCAGGCGGTGGCGGCGCAGCGCGCCGACGACCAGAGCGGACCAACCGTGACGGACATCGACGTCCAGTGCGAGCGAACCGGCATGCGCGTGGAGATTCAGTTCTCGGAGCGGTTCGACGGCATCATCTTCAGCAAAGGCCACTTCGCCGACCCCAGCTGCAGGTGAGGTCTGCCGGCAGGTGTTACGGATGTAAATGTCACTGTGTTGACGGTGAGGCATAGACATGTGCCAATGCGGGGTGCGAGGTGTAAGTTTCAGTTCCACAGCTTGTCGCGCTCAAGTTGTCTCAAATGCATCATCAGTTTACTGCTCATGTTTAAGACGGTATTTTATAACAGTTATAGCTGGGGATCGACATTGCTCACGCGCCGCCAGCTTACTGCACACATCTATCATGCCCTGCATCGTGTTTGTAGTCGTGCAGCAGTGTTTTGCGTGGATGACGGATGTGCATGCAGCGTGCTATAACTGATATGGCTTCGTTTAGTCCGTCCTGTGCTGGGGACTGGGTTACGCTCGTGACTAACCACTGGCCAGACCGACACGGACCCAGACGACAGGCCCGGCTGCGCTCTCAGATACGCTAACACGGCCGCAAGGTGCGACTGCCGCTTGGACGCCAAAAGGGACGACGGTGGCGGTCGACGACGGTACCTCACAACGACTGGTGGGCCTGTCGCGTCACCGGTGACCTGACCTGACCTGACCTGACCGCACCGATGCCTGCGGCGGGACCGCAGTGTGACGCAGAACACGGACAAATGCAGGGTCGGAAATGGCAGCCGTATCTTAGGGATATCTAAACATTTTTGGCGATAAACCTGAAAAGCTTTTTTCCTTGCTGCATGGTATATTTAGTTAGGTTGTCATTTCTGAAACCCCTGGGACAGAATCACCGGGTCACCTGGTCACGGTAAGAAATGGCAGCGGGTAAGCAAGGTCCGACCCATACCCGTCAGATTTTGGGTCTTTATCAGTCAAGAGGCTGGAAACATTGCTGGAATAATAAGTCATCAGTGTTTTCTACAACAGGTCGAAGCGATCTTCGGGATAAACTTAATAGCTATGCGTGATAGAAAGATAGAATATATGTACAGTTTATCTTTGGAGTTCATGACTCACAACAATGTTTAAAAGAGAGTGATTCCAACTTAACTCGTCGAAAATTTGACTGACTTCCACTCCGCCTGCGGTCAAGCACAGGTCCAGTTTCGACAGTGCCAGTTCCGCACGTTATTTTGAGCACCAATCGCAATTATCGGGGTGAGGAGTAAACCCTCGGCTCCCCGAAATCGCGCCGTACGACAGCTTTCTGTTGTCACCAACCACGGCCAGTGCTGAAGAAACCGAAATCGCTGAGCCTTTCAGAAGGTGTAACAGATAAACGGCGATTCGTTGGGAACATGTGGCCACTGTGCTTGCCAGACGGAGCCAGCCTGTCCTCACCCTGTTCTCCATCACGAACATCCGATCCCAGCACCGCATGAAACGGTCCCTATAGTTCCCCAATATGCTCGAGTCACGGTCGAATGCTCTCAGCATGTCGAAAAATACTCACTGAGCACGGAGTGAAAACTACACTTTCCGCCGAATTTGTCCCCGATCGCCCCTGCTTTGAGTCACATTCACGGTCTCGCAGACTTTCACACACGACGGTGCCGGACCTCCTAACCTCGCATCAATTGCTGTCAAGAAACGGCATTCAGACAATCATCCTAGGGCTACGCTCGCTAGCCACAATACGCGTCTTTGACAAACATCATGCCAGTCAGGATGCTCGTGACTTAGACCAAGTCTACGCCGCACAAAGTAGTGACAGAATCTATCCGACAAACAACACCTCCTGACAACAACCATTCGAGCCCAATGACACCCGACACGGCCGACGGCCACCGACGCCAATCCCGCCGACCTCCGCCCTGACCTGCCCTGACCCGTCCTGACCCCGGCTCTCGTTTGGCAGGTACGCGCGCGGCGCGGGCGGCGGCTCGCGCCTGCTGACCTTCACCGTGCCAATGGCAAGCTGCGGCACGCTGGTGCAGGACGGCACCGTCTTCAGCAACACGATCGTGCTGCAGAACGACGCGACCATTCAGGAGGCGTGGGATGTGGCGCGCACAATCACCTGCGACTGGCAGCAGGCGCAGATGCGCAAGACGGTCACCTTCTCGCCGCTGCCCGTGGCCGGCATGAAGGCCGAGGAGGTCCGCTTCGCCGCCAACGAGTCGGTCAGCTGCGGCATGGACGTGCAGGTGGGCCGCTGGCCTGACTCGGCCGGCGTCACGGAGACGGTGCGTGTGGGCGCCGACCTCTCGCTGCTCATGTTCGCCGAGGACCCCGATGGCCGGCTGGACCTGCGCGTTGGCGAGTGCCGCGCCTACAGCAGCGCCGACTTCGCCTCCGCAAGCAGCGTGCAGCTGACGGACGCCGCCGGCTGCGTGCTCAAGCGCAAGCTGATGACGGAGCTGCAGGTGACGCGGCGCAACATCGACGGGCGCGGCCGCGTCATCGCCTTCAGCTACATCTCCGCTTTCAAGTTCCCGGACGTGCTCGAGGTGCATTTCAGCTGCGACGTTGAGGTCTGCAAGGGCCTGTGCCCGGAGTCGTGCGTGCGGCGCGACGCGTCGGTGGCGGCGGCGTCGCAGCGGCCGGTCACTGTGCGGCCGACGCGGCGGCGGACGGTGCGGCCGACTCGCCGGCCGGCGCCGCGGCCCACCGTCAGGCGTACCGCCACCGCCACACGCACGACAACGCGCCGCACGACGACGACCACCACCAGGGTCACGACAACGACGACGGCAACGACGACGGCGACGACGAGGGCGGCGACGACGAGGGCGGCGGCGACCGGGACGAGGCAGAGCCAGACGGTGGCCAGCGGAGGCGCGACCGTGGAGCCGCCGCGCGACTACCCCAGCTACAACAGCGGCGTTAGGGCCCAGGCCAACTACCCCAGCTACAACGACGCTACCGGCGGCGTGCTGCGCGACTACCCCAGCTACAACGCGCTGGACGAAGGCCGCGTGCGCACCGACACGATCCTCAGCCAGCTGGCCAACATCGAACTGGGCCGTCTACCGTCGCGGTCCCGGCTAGCGCCGGCCGCCGGCCGCGTCACGCCGGCAGCACGGCCGACGGCGGCCGGCGTCCTATCCGCGGCCGCCCCGGCCGCCGTCACCAGCGCCGCCCCGCGGTCGGCCGTGCAACTGGCGCGCCGGCCGGCCGGCGGCGCCGAGCGCGCCACGCCAGATGGCGCCAAAGTGGTGCGGACGCCGTTTGGGACGGTCACGGTGCCCGCCTCGCTGCTGCCGACCGCCACGGCGGCGGTGACGGTCCGCGTGGGCGCCGCCGCAGGCAGCACGCAGAACGCGCCGGCCGCTGCCGCCGCCTCGCCGGTCACCGCCGCTTCCTCGCCGTTCGGTGCCCCCTCCCTGACGCCCATCACATACCGGCCGTCGACGCCCGCGCCGGCGCCGGCCGCCAATTTCATCTCGTTCGAATCTGGCGCTGCCGCCGGCGCCGCCACGCGCGTCAACGAGGTCGTCACCGATCCGCCCGGCGCCACCCCCATCCCCATATTCCTCGTGCCGTCCAAGCGCACCAAGGGTCGGTTGGGGGGCCGCAAGCGGCGCCTGCGCGGCGGCCGCGGTCGCTTCAACCGCGGCCGGCGCGCGCTGCCGCCGCCGGCCGAGATCCAGCCGGTTCGGCTGTCTCGCCAGGTGTACGTAGCTACGCAGGACGAGTTGCCGACGCGGCCGCCGGCCGTCCAGCAGCCGGCCGCCGCTGTCTGTCTCTCGGTGGGCACGTTCGCGGCCAGCTTGCTGGCGCTCAGCGCCGCCGTCATGCTCGGTCTGTGCGTGGCGGCCGCCGGCTGCGCGCGCCGCCGCCGCGACCGCGTCGCGCGCCCCCTGTCGCCGCGCGAGAAACTGTACCGGCGCCGGTGATGGGACGGCAGCCGGCGAGGGAATGAGACGTGTCTTTCATAGCTGTTTGTTGGTTGCAGTTTCGGCGGGTATCGAGAGGCAAGCGTAGTGAGGTGACCTTTAGTCCACGTCAGCCAGCCTGTCATCTACCATTAAGTGTGAAGACACGACTATCCTGCGCTCGTCTACGATTTTATTTATTTTTGACTCCGTAGGTAATGATGCGGTTCATTACGTCAAGACTCTACGATGGGTTATCATGAACCGTTATTAATTTGAGCACTGCAAACTGGCCTTCATCCAGCAGGATTTCTGATATGAGGAAGGGAAACGTGTTATGTAGTATGTAAATACAACCATTGGTAATAGCTACAAACATGGAACTGTTCCCAAGCATGATAAATGCATGTCATTTCGTAGGCTTTTTAGTTTTCGGTTGCATTCATCGGTTAAACATTGCGGACGGCGAGTGGCACAACCAGGTAAGAATATAATTGTCTCCAAATCGCTCCAACATATGGGCACCCATCTTGGCCCTTCCCGATTAGCTGAATAGTACCACACACGTGCATTTGTTCCCTCCTTATCGGAGCGATGAAAAGCTTTGGTGGCCTTTCCAGATTATCTCTGTAGATGCCGTCATGCAAGGTTTAGTTACTCCTTGCCTTGGAGATGGAGCACCGAACTACAATAGAGAAGCATGCAAACGGCTGCTGCTGTCAGTGTGGACTGTAGAGTGCCGCATGCGAAACCTATCCTCTTGGAATCTAACCCCAAATGTAGTCCAGACTTCACAATCAGCTTTGTAGTCACCTAATCTAGCCACTTACAACTGATCACCTGCCGCCGGCGTCACCATAGCCTCCACAGCCCCGCTGGTCGGCCCGCTCCACTGACCAGCCCCGCCCCCCAGGTACGTGCCGTTCCAGAGCGGTGACACCAGCTACACGTTCGAGATTCCGATGACCGGCTGTGGCTCGCGGGCCATCACGGACGACGGCCGTATGGGCTTCGAGAACACCATGATCATCCAGTCGGAAGAGGTGAGTGAAATGCACGCGATACATATGCGTTTGTTGCCATCGCGCCACAGTCTGCCGCAGCCGCAGAATCATGTGCTGTCCGATGAAGTTGTGCCCGATGTTCTGTCGATGGGTTGACGCGATTTCAAGAAAAAAATTATTACTGAGGCGTGATTCAGCCATGTCAGACATACCTAAATGGAATAAACCCTGGAGCATGGCACCAAGGGTCTACTGAAAATTAAACTGTTGCTCATTTTATTTCCACGTGTCCAGTCGCAATACAGCTACCAGGTCCCTATTTGTGTCCACCGAATTGTTCCCGTAACGCAGTGTCGTTCAACATGCGTTATTTCATGAAGTGCATCATCGAGAGACGCTCTCATCGCCCGATACTTCGCGCACCGCCGCCGTGCGGCCGGTCGCCGCGTCACCGTTTCCTCCGCGTCCCGCCAGGTGGTGCAGGAGCAGTGGGACTCGGCGCGGCGGCTCAGCTGCGATTGGCCGGACCGGGTCGAGAAGCTGGTCACCTTCAGGCCGATCGCTGTCCAGATGCTGGACGCCACCGAGGCGCGCTTCGCCGGCGATGACGTCACCTGCTGGATGGACATCCAGCTGGGGCGCGGTCCGTTCGCAGAGTCGGTGGACGGGATCGTGCGCATCGGCGACGAGCTGACGGTGGTGCTGATGGCGCAGGCCGCCGCCGGACAGATGGACATGGCCGTCAAAAACTGCTACGCCTACGACGGCGAGAACATCAGCGATCCGCGCACCACCGTCCTGCAGCTGACCGACGACAACGGCTGCCTGCTCAAGCCCAAGCTGATGGGCTACTTCCGCAAGACGCGACAAACGGGCAGCACCGGCGCCGACATCCTCGCCTTCGCGCGCATGAACGCCTTCAAGTTCCCCGATCGCATGGACGTGTACCTGGCGTGTGAGGTCGAGTTCTGCAAGGGCCGCTGCGAGCAGGGCTGCGACAGCGACGACGCGCCGCGCGGCTTCCAGGAGGACGGCGACCGGGGGGAGGAGGACGAGGCCGAGGAGGAGCGCAGCCAGCCGCTCCGGCTGCCCGAGCCGCAGCCGGAGCCGCACAGCTTCGCGGCGCTCCGCATGAGCGGCCGCCGCCCGATGATGCCGACGCTGCCGACGCGGCGCCGCTCGACGACGACGACGCGCTCGTTGGAGCCGCCGCCGATGGGCGAGCGGCTGCCGACGCCGGCCGCGATGACGGCGCTCGACCGCGTTAAGGAGATGATGGCGCGCGTGCGGGCCACGACCGGCGCGACCTCCTCCGATGCGACCACCGCCGGAGCCAGCAGCGGAATCACCGCTGGGACCTCTGGAACCACCGGCGGGACTACCGGCGGAACCAACGGCCAGACCACCGGCGGAACCACTGCGGGGACCACCGCCGGGACCACCGGTGGAACCACCGGCGGGACTACCGGTGGGACCACCGGCGGGAGCAACGGCCAGACCACCGGCGGGACCACCGGCGGAACCACCGGTACCTCGGCGCCTGAGGACGTGCCGATGGACCGCACGACCGTGACGCCCGGCCACACGCTGCTGCGCCTCTCGTCCCTCCCGCCTGCTGCGTCCGCCGCGCCGGCGGCGTTGAACATGCCACCGGCCATGACGACCGCGATGCCGGCCGAGTCCGCGACTTCTCCGCGGTCCACCACGAGTCAGATGACGCTCATGTTTCCGGGCGTGACGGCGACGGCGGCGACGGTGGCGGCGGCGATGGCGGCGGCGACGATGACGCCGTCGGCGGACTCGCTGATGACGCTGATGCGCGATCCCAGCATCAAAGAGATCATGGCTGACAAGGAGTTTATGGCCGAGATGCGACAGACCATGCGCAACCCGCAGGCGGTCGACGCGATGCTGCGGACGGGCGAGGTCACCCCCGACATGGTGGCGCTCTTCCAGATCCAGGAGGTGTGCCCCGAGGCCGGCGGCGACCCCATCTGCAGCATGATCGAAGCCATGACCGGCGCGCAGGCGGCGACGGCGCCGGCGGCCGAGACGACTACGGCGCGCGAGGCACCCGACACCCGCGGGATGACCTTCTTCGCGCCGGAGCCGCGCGCCGACGCCGGCCCGCCGCCGCCGATGGTCGGCCCCACCACGCTGCCGCAGCCGCGCTCCGTCCAGGACATCTTGGCACGGCTGCGTGAGCCGACCAGGGCGGCGCCGCGCGCCGGGCGGCCCTGCGCCATGGACGACTCCGCCTGCGCCATGGACGACATCCGAAACGAGTTCTCGACCATGCGCTCGGCAGGCAGCAGCCGCAGCCTGTTCAGCGTGTCGTACGCGCCCAGCGGCAAGTTCGGCGCGCGCCTCGGCCGACGCCAGCGCTCCAAGCGGCGCGTGACGGAGGCGCGCAGCCTGACGCTGAGTATGGCGCGTCGCTTCCGGGTCGTGTCGCCGGACGACCTGTCGTTCTCGGTGGGCGCGCAGGCGCGCCGGCAGCCGGAAGCGACGGCCGGCACGGTCTGCTTGCCGCGGCTGGGCCTGGCGCTGGTCCTGCTGCTGCTGGTGCTGCTGCTGGTCAGCGCGCTGCTGGCCGCCGGCGGCCTGTACCTCCGCCTCAGCCGGTACCGCAACGGTGCGCGCGCCGCCCGCAGCGCCGCAGAGAACATGTACTCGGAGTATGTGTATAAGTGAGGAGGACGGGGTGAAGCCGGGGGACGGGGCTCGCATTCGGCGCGAAACCCCGCCCGGATGTTCTCGCAGGTTCGTCTCGGTCGACACCGTGGGATGGGAAGACGTCCAATGCATCTTAGAAATGCTGAGTTGGCGTGAGCTTGCTTTGTCATGTGTGTATGCCTCCGTGTAGTCGATGAGGGCAGTGCAATGATATACGCCAGTTGCGTAACTATGCGAGGCCATCATTTATAATCAACGCGAATGCTCAGGACCACAATGTTCCAAGTACAACATCCCATCTCGCGCTCGGCCGGTAGGAGACATCGCTACGTAATGGGAGAGGTTCTGTAGTTCAAGCCCTCCTGCCAAAACAGTGCTCTTTCATATATACAACCCGTATGACCCGTTTACGCTAGGGGAAAGCTGTTACGCTGTGTAGAGCTTCTGCGTTACGCAGAGTTTGTCGATACTCAACGAGTCACGTGCAATACATGGTGGCAATACTGTTTTGATTTTACTCCAGCATCGCACGGCAAAATCGCGGAGCTCCTTTATCGCCTAGGTCATTATATTTCAACCTGCCTTGCTAGTGCTCGCAACTCAAGTGATAACGGGGAGCACATTCTATAGAATACGTTTAAATGTGTTCCGAGTGTTTCGTGGCTTAACCATCGTATATAAAGAACCGCACATCATACCTCACCCCATATATATTATTTCAAATAAGAAAAGAACGAACACCCAGCTCCTGCACGTCCCGTAGGCGCCTTCGAGGCCGCCCACGATCAGCATCCAGCAGGGGAGGAGCCGAGGACCACGCTCCGGAATGGTGTCCGGTCGGCCGGCGGGGCGGACGGCCCTCTACGCGCCGGCGGGCGGCGTGGCGCGCGCCTTCTTCTGCACCTGGCTGATCTTGTCGCCCAGGCTGAGCGCCATACCCTGCCGCACGACACCCCACTGGTCAGCTGGGTGTGGGGGAGGGGGGGGGGGGACGCCAGCCGGCACCAGATACAACCGCCTCATCAGATGAAGCAACGGCAAATGATTGTACGTGAAATACGAACACTACCAGAGTCATACACCAAAAACAATGACACCACATTGACAACCCGACACCTGCGCTACAGTGACACCCGCCACGTATCACCGTCCCACGCGCGGACAGCCGACAGCCCTACTGGCCCGCTCTGGCCGGGCCGGCCGCTCACCTGGCTCTTGGCTCGGATGCGGATGTGGCCGATGACGGGAGCGTCCGGCTTGTTGAACGGCTTCTCGACGCTGAGGTTGGCCAGCGCGTCCTCGCCGAAGATGGAGCGGGCGTACAGGTTGGCCGCCAGGAAGCCGCTGTCGCCCGACAGGCCCTGCGACGCGGACAGAGCGTGAGCCGCCAGGGGACGCGGCCCACCCACATTTGACGCTGCCCCGTCCAGGGCGCTGACAGGAGGGCATACTGGCTAGCAGGAAGTTCTGCGTCAGGCTTCGAATAACACTACAAGCTGATCATGAGAAATCTGTTCGACTACCCTAATGAGATGTTATGAACCACTGTGAACCACTCGGCCGAAGTGTACATCAATCGAGGAGTGCGCACGACCCCTAGGTGCGACGTTAGAACAAGGCGACGATCCGCTGACGTGAACCACGAGCCATCCATGAGTGGCGCCACACTTTGTCCTGTATCGCGAGCCGGCCGGCTTCAGCTCGATGGCTGGCGCCTGGCGACGCCGCACCTTCTCCGGCGTGAGGCAGCGCATGTTGGTGGAGGTCATCAGGTGGGTCAGGTAGTCGTTCAGGTCGGTCAGCGTCGTGTTCACGGACACCTGGCGGTCGCAGGTCGGTGTCAGACGTCCGGACACCGCATGACGCTCGGCTGTCACCGAACAAGCACACCACCAACTTCACTCAACACTCAACACGAGCAACGCGACGAACCTGGCATTAAGCAGCTCACTTAAAAGACATTCTGAGTCCATTCTAACAATCAGCCTACAGATAGAGCTTTCAGGCGAATCATGTCTACTTCACCCGGCTCTCGACGGCAGCGCCACCACGCAGCAGCGTGTCGAGACGCGCCGACAGGCCCACCTTGTTCTCCCACTCGAACTCGGCCCACATCTGGCGGAACTCCTGGTCGTTGCAGGTGGCCGGCACGATGTAGTCCATGATGTCGATGTGGATGTCGTTCAGCACCACCACGTTGCGGTCGTTGCCGGCGCCGGTCACGTCGTACACGATGTTGCCGAAGATGATGGCGTTCTCCGTGCTCGCCACCTGAGGCGCACGGCCAGAACGTCCGACACACCGCCTCTATGGCGCTCCGCAGTGCACACTTTCACGACTTAGCTCCTGTACTAATCCATCCCCAGAAGACTTGATAAAAATAATTTGAATGGACAACATATGCACAACAATGGGAAACGCTACCCATGCTCCTGATGGAGGTGGGATGTAAGGACGTGTCAACTGAGCGAGGACATGCGGCACTGAATCTCTGTCGTAACGTGACGCACGGTGGTTAACTTACAGAGCCCTCGACGATGGTGGACACGCACCTTGACATTGGCCTTGATGTTGGCGAAGTCCTTGGGTCCGAGCACCAGCGGCGCCGGCTTCTCAACCAGCTTGAGGTCTCCCAGCGTGGCCAGCTCCAGACAGCAGTTCTGCAGCGTGTCTGACGTCTGGTTCACCACCAGCACGTCCAGCACGATGTCGTACTGGTTGACGTTTACGTACGCCTCGGCGTACACAGGATCCGAGAAGCCGGTCAGCTGCGTCACCTGGCAGGGCGCGAGCACACGTCAGGCGGCTGCAGAGGCGAGGCGGCGGCCGGCTCCGAGCAACACGCGCGGCCGCCGTCCGCAGCGACGTCACAGGCGCGACGGCCCATCGGCACCGGACAACGGACAACGGACCAGGAGCGTGCGACGGTCGGCTGCGACGTTAGCGCAGGGCGAGCAGCCAGCCAATGGGTTCATAGACGTTATTGACGCAATTTAGACAGCCGTCGCAGGAGCTAGCAACCACAGTCAAACACCACTGCTATCTGAAAACCTTGTAAATCCGGGGCCAGAGGCTACACACCACCAACAATGTCGCCGTCACACACACACACACAGTGCAGCCGGTTCACTAGCACACGGTGACGGGAGAGGGGCGCACCTTGCTGAGCTTGGACGAGCTGAAGTCGGCGGCCGACTTCTTGACGACGCCGACGGCCTGCGAGAGCGAGAGCTCGAACACGTTCTCGCTGCCGCCCAGCTCGCCGCGGCCGGACAGCTGCAGGAAGGCGATGGGCGCGTCCGGCTGCACGGTGAGCGCGGCGCGGTCCTTGGTCTGATGCGTTACCTCGGCGTCCGCCTTCACCTGGCGACGGTCCACGGCGTCAGACCGGCCGCAGACGGCGGGCACACGGCGACGGTGGCACGGAGCGCACTCGGCGGCTCCGCAGGCCCGTCGGTAATGTCCCGGCCGAGGTCCGCGGAAGCGGATATCACACTGGCAGAGGTAGAGCAACGACAGCCTGCATCCACTGCATCGGCACCATTCAATGCCGTCATATACGAACACTGCCCATCTTAAAGCTACTTTCCATCACGGCGTGAAAAACAAACGCGACTCCGCCACGCCACCCGTGCCCCGCCCCTTTACCCCGTTAACATCCTCCTCGCGCCCCCACCGACCTTCAGCATGGAGTTAAGCGCGTCCTTGCAGGCGTGCAGGAAGATGTTCTCGAGCAGCGGGCTGGGCTCGGCCACCACGCGCAGGCAGAGCTGCAGCCGCTCCAGGTCGTCGTCGCTGATGGCCTTGTCGGGCAGGCCGGAGCGGCCCAGGTGCATGATGCTGGCCATGATGAGCATGACCTCGCCGC